GGCTAATTGAATATCAACATTCAACAATCACGTCAAAACCTGGAAGAAATCGTACTCTTACCAGCCAAGCCTTCCCCATCATAAATTCGGAAATATATCCAGAAATTAGAAAGATCTAAGTGAAATTAAAACCCCGACGCCCCACCACCACCACCAAAAAAAAAAAAAAAAAAAAGAAAAGAAAATTCCAGAGTGGAAATGGACTGATGATATAATGATGGAGCTCTGAATGTAGTACAAGTACTGGGTCATATTTTTCTGTTTTCATCACATTCAATTTTTGGCAGCTTATATCAAGCTGACGCGAAGGTCCACCACCAGCTATATAATCACAGGACTGCAATATCCTTAAAAGGACATTAGATAGAGGGTTGGATGTGATAGTTATTTTATTTGGAACCCAGATTCTGTTTTTAAACAGCTAGTCAACTTTCAATTTTCAGGCAATTACCATTACTTTCACAGTGTCACTACCTATTCCTGTTCTTACAGGTTAATGTTGTATCCTGTTGGTACTTTCAGTTTTGGGAAGCATAGGGGTTTAGATAGTAGATTTGTCTAATGGTTTGAGACTTTGAGTAGGTAATTACATGTTTAGGCTAGGTTAATTTTGGGTCGATTTTACATTTTGGGGTATCAAGTTAAAAGCAACTTTTGAGCTAGGATAGAGCTAGGGTGGACTGGTTGGTAACTGCTTTTTCGTACGTGGTTGTTTGATTGACATTGAAATTTGGCTGACAAAAACAAGCTGCACTTCCTAATATTCCGTAGTTCGACTACCTACAAAATAGGGAAAGTTGCTTATCTAGTTCCGCACTTTCGTTTAGCAATTTAAAAGGAGTTATATGGGTGAAAATTGAATGACTTGTACGGTGTGGCAATGAACAGTCCAAAACTCAGCCTATAAATGATCCTGAATAAATATTGTGAGGGTGATATTGAATTGAGAATACAGGAGGACGAATTGATGAAAGAGTGTGAGTGAATGTGGAAGATGCAAAGTAGAATATTTTCCTAAAAAACCTTCATTTACTTTTTTGCATTTTCAGAAGTTTTTTGCTGGCAATTTCATTTTGATGCACCAAGTAGAATCTCTGCATTTTCTGCTGCTTGAATGAATGCAAACCGCAGGACTTTTTTACCAATTCAAAATAAGTTAGACGTAATTACTGCACCTCACATCTTGAGAGTGATAGTTGTTCCTCTTCATGCATGCCTCAATCATATTTATTACTGACAATTACATACCTGAATTCCCCTTTTTGGGGCTCCTAAGATTCACCTTTTTTCCGTTAAGCATTTTTACCCCCTATGATTTCCTTACTTGTAGTAATTATGGACAATAATGTAGACGGTATTCAATTCTAACTTTCTAAGTGTAGTATAATGCACATCACTCGCCTAGACTTTACCACCTAACGCTAGTTCCTTTATCGGTGATTATGAATTGATGCATTTTTAAATTTCAGGGTCATTATGACTATGATCACCTTCATCATGAATTCATCATTAGTCAGACACAGATCAAAGTATCTATATGTTGATTTTCTTATCATTACCTACATTATTTTCATTGGTTATTATAGGAATCTTGGTTAGTATTTTGCAATATATTTGTTCAACTTAATACCTTCTACACAAACATGGGAAAGGGCAAGACTCTTGGAAGCTGTAAAATAATCCTCTCTTAATTCAGAATGGACGTTATAAAAAATTAATTGACTTCTAAGTTCTAACATACAGTACTAGTGTGATTTCAACAACTTTCTTTGAATTTAAGTTCGATCATGAGCTGCATTATCCTACTTGTCGAGCAATTAATGCGAACCCGCATTAATTGAATGGCAATCCCAATATATGGTCAGTCAAAATATCAATTTCTACTGTCCGAATTTTTTCAAACTAAATTTTTTAAAGTTTTTTTTTTTTTTTAATTTTTAATTATAAACATAAACTCTAAGAATTCAGAGCAACAGAAAGTTTATTTCTTCTACTAATCACTCCGTTCCATATATAGTGTTTGTTTTTTTTTAATGAAAATTACGGGTAGTATGCCCTCAAAAAAAAAAAAAATAAATAAATAAAAATTACGGGTAGTATGGAGTATTAAGAGTGTGAAACATATTCTCAAATTAAAGCGATAAAATTGAGGTACGGAGTATTCACTAACCATGCCCCCGTTTTTCTTGATTTATTTTTCCATGTTTTCCTTAATCTTTATTTTTCATTTGAATTCTTCCACTTTCATATTAAAATGTAATTTACTAAAGCTCGTCTGAGAGTATTTACTGCATTCTGCAACACGTTGAAGCCACTATCTTACCCATTTAACTCCCAACTTTTCTCTGCTTAAAAAAAAAAAGAAAAAAATCCCACGAATATCTTCTTCATTAAAAAAGAGTTATGGCACTTCTTACTGACAGGTCTACCATCACTTTCGATTTTCATAGAAGAGTCAGTTCCAACTTAGAAGAGAGAAAAGGGAAGTGTCACTTTTATCCCATCTTTCCCTTTCTTCTTGTAGTGCTCTTACATTATTGCCTCAAGAAAACAATTCATTTGTCTTAGGACACAGGGCATCATAGTAGGGGTGTTAATGAGCCGATTTGGACTCGAGTTTTACCTGTAACAGAAAAAGTTACCTGTTTCAAACTTAATAAGCCGACCAGAGTTGTTTATTTTGTTTTCAGACAAAATCACACAAAATTGAAGGTAATATACTTACAAAATAAAGTTAAAGGAAAACAAAACAGGATCTGCTGCTAAACATCTGTAAAATTGTAAAGAGTACTACTGTACAAAAAAGCTCTCTTTTACTAAAATTAAAACTCATAGTAGCATCATAATATACCAAAAATACGGAGTACTAGTAGTAAAGTTTTCCTTTAATTTTACCTCTTTATAAATTGTACTGACATCTGCAAAATTAGAGTGTTCTTTCTGATACAATAGTAAATGGGTAAATAAATGTAGATACTAAGATACATGTAAGAAACTCTGCAGTTTTGTCCCTATAGTTTAATTTATTGAATATATTTTCACTATACATCTTTGTCTTCCATTCTCATTGAATTCTATGAAATGGCAATACATAAGTACATAACACCAAGTATTAACTACGTCTGATTTTATAGTATGGCAATTGTAATAATGCCAATACCCAAAACTCCCGAAAATTTTGTGACTTGTTGACTCTTTCCTTCTTCAGTACTTGTATATTTGTTTTTATAGCATTAACCTATCTTTGTTTCTCTTCTAAACTTGTAGAAGTTGCATTTTTCACCCTTCAATATTAACCTTGTACTTCTAGATAATGTCTATAATAATCTTCCATCTGATTCGCCTTATGTGTTATCAACAACGTATAGTACAATAAACCATTTTATAGGATCTAGTTGTCTTATTAGACATACCCCAAAGTTTTAAACTCGCATTAGAAGGAGAATTGGACAACATTAAACTCCGATAGTTTGTACTCCATACTCTATATAAGTGATATTGTAAAACAACTTACATTATGAAACAAAATACCCTATTTACTAATTTATATCATCAATTTTGCATGGAGAGAATATTGAGCAAACCCTAGGAAAAGGCAAAACTAACAAACCACCAAAAATGAAGGAATCATCCTTTATTTTAATTTTTACTGCCATTTGTTATGTTTTTGCTTGCTGATAACAACAGTTATTGTTGGCTAGCCTTAGCCAAAACAGTTACTGTCCCCAAAGTTTTAGCATTCAAAAAGAATTACTACTATATTTTAAAAAATGAAAGGTTTTTTTTAAAAAAAAATAGAAAAATCCAAACATCTCACGTGTAAGTTCGAAAATATATGAGTCTCCAAATGGGCAAGGTTCCAAGCATGGGCTTGGGACCATTACCAACAAAATATTTTGCAGTAGCTCGTCACGTGAATAGCCCATGTGCTATTTTCTATGCCCAACAATTTTCTCTTACTCTCCCTTTCATTCAGGTGTATTCACTCTTCTTTCTGACTCCTCCCACTTTGTCTTGTGCCATCATTTTTACAGCATATTATTATCATTCTTTTTTACGTATTAGTTAGGATATTATTCTTAAGAGACATGATACAATTAGCATTGTTTTCACCTAGGCACGAACTTCTTTTAATTTGAAATCGGAATCAATTTAACCTTTGAAGATCTCTAGATTTTTTAAATTTTAGTATAGCAATTGTATATTTAGTCTGCATTAAAAATAAAAAATAAAAAAACCCTTAAAGAGTAGGATTTTCTTTATTTAATTGTAAATTAACTTTTTAATTCGTCTTAAAAATTCTTATTTGAATGATGATTGTCTCATAAAAAGTCAAAAAAAAAAACCTTTAAATGACAAAGGGAGTACATTTGTATATATGATAATGTTTGATATGTCATTTTAGAAGTTAAACCTATAGTTTTAACAATGGAGTAGAAATGAGAAGCTAGTAGAGTAACAGATGTAATCTATATTCTATGATAGTATAAATATTCCCCTTTGTCTAAAATCAACAATCAATATATTAATTTAACCCAAACATGTTCATCACGCAAGTTTATCATTTTGAACTTATTTAACAGCTATATTTGCAGAACCACTAATTTCCATTTTCAACTTCTAGTTAACTATACAATTAAAATATACAGAGCATATATGCTTAATCAAACCAAGTTTAAACTCTAATCTTGAATAAGTTCAACATTATAACATAACATAGAATTTAACTTTTATAGCTCACATTTTTCAAAGAGATTAAATTACTCATTAGCACCTTACCTTCTAGGAAAAGGGTTTTGTCCAAGAAGGTGTGACTTGAGTAAATAATCCAAAATAGACCCTTATAGCTGAGGACCATGTACTCCAAAAGGACCATAACTACTCTAATAGGCATAGATTTTCACAAATTAATAATGTAAATAATAATCGCGGTCCTAAATGTCCGAGACTAAGCCTCTAATCACCTTCTTCATATCATTGGAGAAACATCATTCAAAGTATTAAGCTCAATTCAAATTTTATTATTTCTATATTTGTGGTATTAATAAGGTTAATGAATATACTAACAGAAGCAACCAACAAAAGCCAACGACTAACAAAATTCACTAATTAGAACCCATTTGACTAATATTTACATGGTCCCACTCATCATTTCCTAAATCCTATTTTTGAATCAAACAAGAAGAAAAATCTCTAATAACTAAAACAAACATTTTCTTTACATCATCATTATTATTCATTAACATTAATCTTCCCTAATCTAATAGTAGTAATTTGCATGGAAACTGCTACTTCTACTAACCAATGTAGCACATTTCCTGGACTAATGAGTCCATAATATAACGTTCAATCTCTGTTACAATGTCGTCGCCTTCGCCTTCATCGTGGTAAACAATCATATCACTCGTTGCTCCAATTCTTGGCATGTCTTTCTCAACAAGTGCATCAATATCTTGTAGTGTTTGACAATCTGCAATAGGAAAACTTCGAATTTTCGAGCACAACGTCTTCACTAATTGAAACCCGTTCATCTGTGTATCACGATGATTGTTGGGATAACGACGACGATGATAATGATTCTTGAGTTTAACATAAGGTTTTAACATATCAGCTAACATTTCATCAACTAAATGAAATATTAACTTTCTGTTAACCGAAAGATTTAACTGTTCACAAAATCTGTCACTAGTTGTAATATAGTGAGTAGCTTCTAAAGTGTGGTAAATTGATGGGTCTAAAGGGTGTGATGGTAAATACCATCTCGTAAATGAAACAGGGGTATCTCTGTCAATTCCAGTACATTTCAATATTCTACTGATGTACTGAAACTCCATTACGGAGGTACCTGTGCCTGTACCTGCATCCTTCCTACCGCTCCTCCAGCGGTCAGCTGGTGCATGTGTCGCTTCTTCTTGTCTCTTCTCGTCTATCCGTTGTCTCGGATAACGAGATAACCGTGTCGTGGTGGTGCTGGTGGTGGTGCTGATAAGCCGCTTTGAAAGCTGAGCTTCTGACGAAATTCCCTATGAATTTATTTTTTTGTACTTTCTATTAGTAAGACTATCTTTTGACTATGAAGAACCCAATACAAACTTAAAGAAAATAGATTCATAATCATAATAATAAGAATAAAAGTATCCAATGCAACCGTTATATAGTACGGAAAGTTAGGCTAAAAAACAGTTACCTGATTGTCAAGTAATTTTGTAGGAGAAGGTACTGGAGAAGAATCCTTCTTGAGGGGGACAAGTGAAGGGACTGTCCCGTGAAGAAGATCACTAGACAACATATTCTTCTTGCATTTCTTGCTCGTCGTCGTCGTTGTCATTGTCGAAGGGTGAACAAATTGTTCCTCTTTCTTATTCCTTATTGAATTGTAAGACTTCAAAGGCTTCTTGCTCGGCGTCGTTGCTGTTGTCGCCGTTGTTGTCGTTGTCGTTGTTATAGGGTGAACAGGCTTCTTTAAGCTTTCATCCTCGCTTTCTACTGGTTTCGCTTGCACTGTGACCGTCTTTGGAGGTACTTCAGTAACAGCCGGTGGGAGCTGTTCCGAATTTTTCGAGCTCGTATGCTTATGGTTTTCGTCACTGTAAGTTTTATACCTCGGCGAGGACGAGGATAAATGAGGAAACGAAGACTGATCTTTTTTGGACTTCTTGGGTTTTATTGTTGATGATGACAAAAGATGTTCATCTCTTCTATGTTCTCTCCCAATTGTGTTAGTAATATCAACACCAACTCTCCTACTAACAGTTTCCTTAACTTGTTTCATAATCTGCCTAGCATAATAGCTAGGACTCTTAGCAACTTCTTCAGCATCATAGTTTTTCCCATCTCTTCTCTTGGTGGTTATCGCGGAACATGAAGGCCGCGATAACTCCATTTCCCTCTGAATGTTGTTCTCCTTGTTGATCTGGAGAGATAGTCGATGGTGATCAACAACATCCATGGACCGTCTCCTTGTTGATTGCAATGATCTCGGTGTCTCGGGCGAGGACCGGGGGCCGGGGCCGTTGTCAATGTAGGAGGTTCTAGTACCAGGAATACTACAAGCACTACAAGATTTTCTTGTTTGAGTGGAAATGGGTGGAGTTGAGGATCTTATATGTGGAGAAAATGTTTGAGAATGTGATGATCTTGGTGTTGTTGTGTTTGATTCTGGGAGAATATCTAAGCCCATTAGCCTTGCTACAAGGGTTGGTGTCCTTGCACTTGCAGGAGAACAACTGCTTTCTGATGACAAATCTTCTATTTTACCTCTTGGCACTTGGACTAGCTTCAGCGCTGTGTCTCTTCGATTCGTTTTCTTCTTAATACCCTTCTGAAAATCATAACATTATTGTCATCCTCTAAGGTATAGGAAAATTAAGAACCCATTAATGATGTTTTTTTTCAAAATGGTAGAAAATCTTACAGAAATGTGTAAATGATCATCCTTATCTTCTTCTGTGATTGATTCCAAGCTATTTCTTGGCGCTTCTACACCTGAACATTCGGAAAAGAAAAGAAAAATCAAAATTTGAAAATGTAATCTAAAAAAACAAAAGTAAAAGTATGATTCTGTTTCTGTAGGACTGTTACTACTAGTTCTACTACTACTACCACCTTTTAGAGGAGTGGGGTCATCTGGAAGAAAAGAAGCATCTTGAGGATGTAAGCACAACTGAAAATGCTGAAAATCAAACAGATGAAGTACAGCATTCATGCATCCTCCTGAAGATGCTGCAGCAGCAGCCGCCACCGTAGCAGTTGGTGGCGTAGTCGGTTTTCTTTCCACTCCTCGACTACCACCACCATTACGACCATTACCATGACCACCACCATCACCACCGCCACTGCTCGTCTTTCCTTTCTTAGAGGAGGACTTGGTACCCCAGTTTAGGTACCATTCTCTACCCATAACAAATAGGCTAGCAATATTTTTTTTCCCTCCTAATAAATTTTGTTGGTGTTCAAAAAAATCAAATAAAGGGTGTTAGAAGAAGTAAATGTACAAAGAAAGGGGTGAATATATGAGTGTGTGTGTCTGAAACTGTATGTTGTTTTTATATGAGAGCACGCACTCCCAAGTGCTTACAGCAGCAAAGACCGGGAAAAAGACCAACCTTACTTTCTTTCATTGGGAATTTGAATTTATAAATATTGAAATTATTATTATTGAAATAAAATTATTTATATTATTATTGTTATTAATTTAATTATATGATCTATAGCTTAGCTTAGAGTACTCTCCATGAGGTTTTACATTCAAAAAGTTTGGGGGGACTAATATATTTAATTGGATTTGGTATGTTAGTAATTAAGATTGTTTAATTGGTGTTACATGGACCACTCTATATACATTTTCTAGCTATGACTTAAACTATGAAATATAATTTCTAGCTATTATTATATCTATTGAACATAAATTTGATCTAGACTTTTTTTGGATTTATGGCTAGCTTGTCATAAATATTATTTGAATGAATGAATGAATATAATTCATATTTGTAATTGATTTCTCTATATTTGTCTATTTATGCCTACTTTGACAAAATTGTTTCCATGTCACTATCAAATTGATTCATCTTTGGACTAGGTTTGGTTGCTAAATTTATCTTTCTAGGCTTTTTATTTTGGATTTTGGATTAAAGAGAAGAAGAAGAGAACTATGTTAAAGTATTTTGCTACAGAATACTTGTCACATCTTGTCAACAAGTTTTGAAACCTAATGCACCATTGATTATGCTGTACGGAACAACTATAAGAGAACCATATAGTTGTAGTTGGCTAAAATTTGGTTTTCAGTCGATTTAGTGGTGTCTTTTCGTATAACTTTTCTAGTCGTAGTTTTCACCATTTTTTTATTCCTTATTTAGCTAATTAAGATATAGTTGATCGGTTAGAGTTTTATTTCGCGTTTCGTTATACAATAAATGAGCAAGTACATTACCATTTTTCAAAATTTGCCTTTGGTCAAGTCCTTGCACATATAAGCAGGGGGGATTAATTAATACCGAGCATGGAGTATTTCTTTACTTTCATACTCTTAGAATTAGAGAATAATGACTAAATTTCTAGATTTTCCCAACTTTATATTTCTAGTAAAAGATTTAATAACTTGAACTGCTGGTTCGTTAGATTTAATTTTGATGTTGAGAAAGTTACAAGCATGCAAAAAGTAGATAAAAGAAGACGAGAGATTTGATTGCAAGTCTTGGGGTTATAGGTTACCCAAACTACTCTCTAATAGTTTAACTCAATAAGTAAGTTGCATTTACATAATAATTCAATCATTGATATGTCCTTTGCATGTGGGTGCTTTACCTCCATACTTCATGAGACCATTCAATTACAATTTAAATTGATTGAGGTCCAATCTATGATTTTATATATTTCTAATAGTACTAACTTGTTTGTGACTAGTTGATTGAAAAGACTATTCCTAACATAGCCACATCAAGGGAAAATAGAGTATTTTCCTATCAATAAGACAGAATTACATATGAATAATAAAATATCTCCTATGAAATAATTGAACTTTAGAACTTACGTAGTTGCTTTACAATCTCTAAGTGAAAAGAACCGTTTATGAATCCCTTCGATTAAAGAAAAAAACTGATTGAATGACAATTAGTTGTCCAACTCAATATAACTAATCTCTACACTCGTTTCATTTATTTTCATCCCAAAAAAGAAAAAGGTGAAATAAGAACATCAATATATATCACCCTCATATTGTTTGTGTATTTTTGCCCCCCGTTTTGTTGTCAAGTCAAGATAAAAAAAAAAAAAAAAAAAAAAAAAAAAACCTATAATAGAAATATTTTGGGAAATATATAAATTGTACTATGCATTCAACATACCCCATTGAAATACACAACTTTAGTTCAAAATTTAAGCTCTTTCAACGATTAGATAATAATCCCTCCAAAATTTTCTAGTGTATAAAAATATTAAATTTAATAAATTGATTTAAAACACAAGGTGGTGGTGTTGTGTGGAGATGTTTATTAGGGATCTGCAAAAATTAATTCAACCATTATGCTCACGTGACATCCTATCAAGTACTAATTATCCCTTAATTTAAAAAAAAATATAGTGTATAGCCGTAAGAGTTATATGTAGCTCTAAGCATTATGTATAAGAAGTTAAAAGAGAAAAGTATTAATAAAATATATTTATTAATTACACTGATTTGCGTGTGATTTTATCATGTATTCTTAAACTTATACAAAAAAAAGAAAAAATTAAATGCTTATTAGTAGCCCAAAGTGTTATATATAGCATTACCTATTAAATAAATATAATCATGATCTTGATGATCTTGGTAAGATTTTGCATATTAATGTACCATATAATAGTATAGAAATAGTATTGGTAAAATCAAAAATTATATCCGTTAGTTGTTGTTGATAAAAATCATGGGTGACGCAAGATAAAATTGAAGGTATTCCTCTTGGGAAAAGGGAAAAGCCATATAAGATTATTTCAGGTGTAGCAGCTGATCGAGCAGAGTGTAAATTTGCATATGACGACTGATTTTTGCTTGCTAGGTGTCATCTTTGTGTTTGTGCAACCAAACTTCCTGTCTCTCCCCTTCTTCATTGTGCCCTTCAATTCCTTGTTCTCCTTCCAAAATTCTTCAGTTCGTGTGATTTAATCTCATCTATATTAATATTTTTCTTAATTTAATCTGAATGATACGAAAAAATAAGATCACGTTGATCTTTTACAAGATAATTGTGGCTATCCCTTAATAATATTAATAATATTAAAATTTGAAATATAAGTAAGGTTGCGAGTTGAACTAGTTAGGACTTAGAAATGTAATTAATGTTGTGATATACTTCATATTTGTTTTAGAGAGTGTTGCAAGGAATCAAAAGATTCATAATGGATGATGATCGAAGTTTAATTTGTTAGAAAGCCTTAGAGCGACCATTTTTCAATAAAACCTAAATCATCTTTCAGTTTCTATTAAGAATGTACTTGTATTAAATTAGTCTCTTATTTTCATTTTATTTAGAAAAAACTCGAGAATGAAAATAGATAAATACGAACACAATTTACGTGATTCGCTAACAATGCGTAAAGACCGTAAACTACATCATATCCACAAACAAATAACATAGAGTTTTATTGATCATGTCCGTAGCCCACATAACGATTTTGTTCATTTCGGAGGTTTTAACCCCGAGCCCCAAACCTAGACCCCCATAATGATCATTTGAAGGGGTCTAAATTCAAGGCATATTGCCCAAAAACAACTAACTCCACTTGTGAATAGAGCATAAAAACCTATAATACTCTGCTGGTATTTTGGTACTAGTTAGTTGCTACGCTGTGGAATTTGTTACGTCGTATTAGCACTACTCCTAGCACACATAATATTCATGCAGGTTTATTTAGTTACGAGTAATACTCTCCGTCTCTTTATTTTTGCCCCATTTGACTTTTCACGGTTTTTAAAACGCATTTTACAATGCATATATAAGTTTGATATTAATAATATACAGATGAACGCAACAAGATCACACATGACTTCATTAACTATTATAGATCAATGACAATTAATGGTCAAAGTTTTAAAAATTAGCAATAGGGCAAAAAAATTAAGGATAGAGAGAGTAATTTGCAGCATATTTATTTTGGAGAAATATACATGTTTAGTTCTATGCATATGGCCCGCTAGCCGCTACTAAACAACGTAAACTGTCTAAATTGTTTGTTGATGGGTCCAATTCATCTTTATATATAATGGTCCTCAACTTAAATATTCCAATTTTTTTTCCCCAAGTTACAAACTTTACTATCCCTTTCACTTATGACATTACATGGTATATTGCAGGCTTGAAAATGAACGTAAATACCATATAATACTCATAAAATGACAGTTATTATAAATTTTAGATTCGTAAAAAAAATTGTAAAGAGTTGAAATGACAACATATACATGATGATCCGATGTAGCTACTACTCAGTATAGTACGTACTGTTTATAATGTACAAGATCTTTCACTGGTTTTTTAGTAGCTTCCAAATTTCTACGGTATGTGGTCTTGTGTATGACCTGTTTTATTAACATATGTGAGTAAAAATTATTATTCAAAGCGTGTTCTATCTATCTAGCTTTTGTACGAAGAGTTAAAAATTTTGTTTAAGTTAATTTACCATTACTAATTAATTTCTACCACTATAGGGATTAAATACCATTATGATTCAATTTTAGTCTTCTAACATCCTTTTTTTTTATTCTTCTAAAATCAATTTATACATATATATTATAATATTATTGTACTACCTCCGTTACATATTATGTGCAACTTTTGAGTATTATTTATTAGATATAAAATATTCCAAAGTTGCACAAAATATGTAACGAATGTAGTAATTGATTACACCTTTCTATAAACTAGGACTCTAGGAGTACATATATCTTATACTCCGTACTATATATATGGTTCCGTACTAAACATTGCATGTTAAAAAGTTACACCAAAGGTGTAACACCCTAGAAATTCTCTTCCTTTAAAATACCTATTTTGCTCTTTTTTAAAATACGAAATAGGAAATTCTAAGACATTACCGCCACCGTGAAAATGGCTAAGACAATTATCAAAGACACACAGCGGAAGACTCACTTTAAAAACCATTCAAAACAAGTCAACTTAAAAAGTCAAACCAAACGAAAGTAAAGTCAAACCGAAGTCAACCTACAACTTGGAACCATTGTAGGCCCTTATCAAAACCCAAAACAATACTAAAAACCTTTGCATTAGTCTCACAAGCAAATATATAATAATCAAAGCGTATAAACACATCACATTTTTATGAAAACTAAACAGGAATCGCTCTTCACTCATGCCTATCATGAATATGCTTCATCACCTGAAAACTTCCCTTTACTTTGTCCCCACTACTCGCCATTAGAAATGGGTCGTCGTAGGGCCAAGACAAGGCCAAACAAACATACAAACACACAATCAACAAAGCTGAGTACATAAACGTAAGCAATACACACTAACATGTTTTCATCCTATTAACACACAATTTACCTTGTTGCACCTGTTTACAAGCATACAACACAACCAACCAATAAATAGCTAAATGAATTGCTTATTTAATTTGATTACGCATTGAACGGGTTTCCCATCAAATCCCTGCCCTAAATAAATTGAGGTAAACTACACCAGGAGCTAACCGAGTAGGTAAATGTCACATGAAAGTGACTAGACGTGCTGCGTATAAAATAAATAAAGGAAAATGCAACGTATTGTACTCCCAGTAGGAGCTATGGTTAAATATAAAACCCAATAACTCCCCCCCCCCCATATGTTCATACTCGAAGTGTATACGTTCCAAGAGTTCTGGTGCGTAATGTCTTT